GCTGCTCCGGCGATATGCGTGCGCTGGTTCTCGAACTGCTGTAGCGCTGCTTGCTCAGATGGCGTAAGCCCCTGATTGGCCATGGCAAAATGCCCTGGAGTGATATCGAAAGACCAAACGCCTTAAGCGTTGTGGTCAAGAAAGCTAACTGCAATCTTGCACCTTGCAAGCTGGCAACCGAGATGCCTATAGAATCCATTTAAGGGTCAGGGTTTATAGAATCCATAAGGGGCAGGATTTATAGAATCCATTTAAGGAGCAGGGTATAGAGAATTCATAAGGGGAAGGGTTTATAGAATCCATTTAAGGGGCAGGGTATAGAGAATTCATAAGGGGCAGGGTTTATAGAATCCGTCCGGGGCAGGGGTTACGGTTTCAGGGCTTGGGGCTCAGAGCCCTGAAGGTCGAGCTGCTGTGCAAGGATGCTTCAGCAGAAGTCGCTGGTACCTGAGATGCGAGCCAATGCGCATTCCGCAAAGCCCCCACCTGACAGACCTAAAGTGAGGTAAAAGGTGCAGAACCAAAAGCAAGATACAATGTTTTAGCGAAAAGTGAAAAAAAGGCAAGCAACGATTCCCTTGCCTCCCCCCCCCCGACGTGTGCGGGGGGAATCGTTGCTGCCATAATTGGCAGTTCCAATAGTTTTTGTTGAAATCGGCAAACCTGCTTTTGTCATTTACACCTGATTCACTGGTGTGGCTATCATGCTTCAAAACAAAATAAAGCAGGTCAAGGCACATGTGCAGCCACATCTCAAAACTATACGGACCATCTTTGCCAAGCAAAGTTCACTTGGTGACCACCGTTGGGGCATTGTATTCGCAAAAAGCATCCGGATCTAGCAACGTGACTTAGCCTAAGTAGCATTGACCAAGGTGAGTTATAAAGAAACCCATTTCAAAAAGATCCACGTCGCCCTATAACTAACATCTGGTCTTTCAGGAAAGAGGCTCTGAAATGGGAGGGGGAAGGGTGCCTCCGCCTTTTGGGCCAACTTCGCCGAGCTGCCAGTTTCGGCTCAGCCCGAAACCCGATGCCAGGGCCAAGACCTCTGAAGCGAGGCACAACGCCGCGGCGTAAAAGCGATGGTAAAAACCGCAAGGACGGTGCCTGCACATTGGGCTCGTGTAAGAGATATGCAACAGCAAGAGCTGTCTTTGGAGCCGCAATCGTGACACGGGAGTAAAACCTCTGACAAGGCAGGACAACTCAGGCACAGCCACTGCGCATGGCACTGATCGGACAAGTGGCCTGGCGAGATCCACGGAAATCACGGCACGCACTTTCGCCTTCAGCTTCGATTGTCTATAGACCACTGCTCTCAGGTCTCGTCGCGCCTGGCAGCCGATCACGGCATAGCAGGCCAGCAGGATGGCGTGGAAGCTCGCCATCAGCACAGCATCATGGATTCGTGGCCATATTTACTTCTTGGTCCAGTTCGGAAGGCTCCACCATGCAGAGCCTGCAAGCTACGCTGAGGTGAACTGTTGGCTGCACTTTACAACCGACGTGCAGGACCTGGCGTTTCAGGCTGCACACGTCTGAGTGTATACATGTCATACCTCTTGTAGTTATGGCCACTGAGCATGGCAAAACGGCTCCGGGCCATGCACATGAAGTCTGTGCATATGAAAGACCAAGCCGTCACCGACTGCTTCAGAGCAAAAAGGAGAAAACCCAAGACCCAGAGACAGCTTTCCAAGGCCGAGGCTGGTCTCGGTGCGTCCTCCAAGAGAGGCGCTGACACGCTGTGATCTCCCAGGGCATGTAGTATACATTTGTAGATAGTCTATAGTCTATAGTGTATAGTATATATAATGATAATGTCGTCTATAGTAACTATAGTAAGTACATCGTTTGGCTCGTGTATACTCTGGCATGCCGGGAGCTCCTGAACGCGCTGAGTGAGGAGCAGTGTCAGCCTCAGTGCACGAGGCTCGCGTTCAGAAATCAGCTTGCCTACTTGGAGGTTCATGGGTAGTTATAAGTGGGGTTATAAGGCCCCTAATATGGGTTATAACTATAGTTACCCTACTTATAACCCCACTTATGACTACCCATGAACCTCCAAGTAGTATGGCATCTTGTGGAGACAGCCGGATGGCGCAAGTTCGACTGGAAACAGCACTCCAGCATTCTGTGCAGTTCTGATTTGGGTAAAGCCTTTTCTCGATCACACCACGAACAACCACCGCCACTGGCCACAGCTCGAGAGTCCTGGCTTTAGGGACCCTCAAAGATGGCAAGCCGGTTGCACTCGAAGCCCCGTTGCGATTCGTCTGAGCAGAAACGCTCTCCAAGCTGCCCGATTCAATCTGGCAGCTCTCTCCGACGATCCATATATGGAGCTAGAGCTAGGGCTCTTAAAAGAATTTGGTATTTGTGTGGGTGACAGCTCAAGAACAGCTGGACCCTCCTGTGCACCTTTGGAAGACCTGCCTTTCAGCTACTTTCAAGACCGGGCTACACAGAGCTCTTGCTGGCGCCCGGTCACTGTAAAGTAGCCTGCTTGTCAGGGAGGTCAATAGACATGGCGAGCCTCACCTGCAGTGACGGTGACAGCTGTGCGTAGTGGAGCAACCACCGAGATCCCTACGTCAACAATCGTGGGCACAAATTGATGCTTCATTCAACAGATGCCAAAGCTGCAACACAATACACTGGTCGTCTGCAGCTCTACGCATGCTGTGAGTTCATCGTGGGGGCCACCCAGTCTTGTCAGCCCAGCGACAGTCGCTGATGCACCTCATCGCACGCAGTCTACTGCAAGTTTACCGCAAGTTTGTACTCACGCGGCACACGCGGCAGTGATGCCGAGGCGCATGTCCATGAAGCGGTCGGTCTCGACACTCCTGCCACACCTCTCCTCCACTGTGCTGTGGATGAGCTGTTGGGCGTGCGTCTTCCTTACCGGCAAAGCACTGCCTGCCCATGATCTGCCTGCACTGTAATCCAGAGAACAGCGCAAGGATCGTGCTTGCATGACCGATGTTGGCATGTCCGTTTTTAAATACTATGCATGCCTAGCTCTGACGACATCCGAGGCTCAGTAAGAGGGGTAGTATCGGTATCGTGGCCTTTCTACCCCTCTAATTTGCCTCCGTACAGTCAAGGAGCGCAACGTCGTAAACGAGCTCACCAGCTTGGAGCCAGGCGTCGCTCTCGGCTTGGGCCTGCAAGCTCTAAAGCTTCAATGCTCGCACAAGACATGCGCCGCGCTGCTTTACAATCATCTTTCCCAGGGCCTTCGAGACACCCTGCCGACGGATTTTCCAGTGCTGCTTGCCCAGGACGCAGAGAAGCTGGCACGGCCATGAGGGACATATAATGGAAAATCTAGCACTTTACCATACTATACTGTACTATTCCGTGCTATACTGTACTTTACTGTACTATGCTGCACTGTACTGTACTATATACTGTACTATACTGTACCATACTGTACTATACGGTAACACACTGTACTAGTCTGTACCATACTGTACTAATCTGTACTAGAATTACTGTACTATAGTATACTATACTATACTGTACTATGTTGTACTATATTATGCTACAATATACGATGACCTGACGCAGAATTTCAGGGATCCGCCTGCAGAAGGCGTTGGTCCCGGAGGTATCGGAGCTTGGCAGAGCCGTGGAGCGCCCCGGACAGCCAGGCCTGAAACCCAACAGAGCTGAAGATCTGTGTTTATGCATATTGTGTATATTGCACGTATCACATATATATATATATATGTGATAAGATATATATATATATATGATATGTATGTATGTAGATAAGTATAATGTACAAATAATACAAATAACAGACATGAGACACGTATGAGCTTATGCTACAAACGAACTTCAACGGAACAAAAAGGCTTGCACCACACGACACATCTCTGAATGCTGGTGGACCAGGAAACTCGGCAAACAGGCCTTCAGCACTCTGTAGAAAAGCCGAAGGACGGCCTCTCAGCTGCCACACTGTAACTGTTTTCCCGAGAAGTCAGAACAAAGCTAAACCAGTGTCTTCTTTCGCAACTCTCTGTTGTCTGTGTATGAGCTCATCTAGGTACATGAAGGGATCTTCAAGCAAGGCTGCGGGCATGTTGAACTTGTCTCTGCTCTTTGAGGCTTCCATAGCGAAAGCCGAGCTGCCGATAATTTCGAGTGTGCTCGCACGAGGTCTCTCGTCACCATCTGCTGCAACACACGGCTGTCGCCTTCTGCAAATCGGCAGCCTGGTGACACGAATGATCCAATCAGACGGCGACTCTTCCACATACAGGAGCCAGGCAGCAGAGCAGAATATCGCTGTTGGACCCGAATGGAGAGGATGCCATGAGCCCGAAGGATCCAACCTGAGACGCTAGAAAGCTTTGCAGGCCGGGGGAGTGCACCAGAGATCTTCAAGTACATCAGAGCTGCCATGAAGTGAAATCCTGGTCGAGTCGCATCCCGCCGTAGCAGCGCAAGGGACTTGATAGCAAAGTCTACAGCCTCGACCTTCAGGGCTATAGAACACGGGAAAGATGTCCCTCTTCCAGTGCTTTGTGGGTCGCGCCCCAAATCTCCAACTCCTATCTATAAACCCCTAAACCCTAACACACCCGAACCCTAAAGCCCCTACCATACCCCCAAACCCTAAACCCCCATACCCTAACTCACAACCCATCACAACCCTATACCCCATGCCTTCGCGGCGGCGATCTGCGTCACCAGCGCGCGCGAGAGCTCGGAGTTGGCTTCGATTGCCTGAAGACACGCAGGGAGGACCCAGTGATTGAGGGTTTAGGGTTTAGTAGGGT